AGATGATGCTGAATAGTAAGTAAATAGAAAATATGTTTTATCCAAGAAAAATCACAGACTATATATACTATAAGAAGATACATAGAGAAATTAAAGAAAAATTCAAACATATGTGACGTGTTAAAGAAGAAGAAGAAGCCAATCAAGCATAGTGGAAGAGAAGTATGTATGTGAAGAGTATAATCAGTAAATATTATAATTACATTTTGTGAAAAGATCTTCGATATCCTCTGTTATCGAAGCTCAGATTAACTTCAATACAATATATACATCCATTTGTTATTCATAGATTGTTAACCAAATTTAAAACTATTGTAAAAGAATCATTTCGTTATCATTTTCTTTTATTTTTTAAAATCATATTACAGAACGACATATAAGAAATGTATAATAAACATAAAACATAGTTAATCTTGTTTGCCAGTTGATCGTTTTGTTGGATCAATTGATTTTTTCTTTTCTGGAATATCTTCACGAAATGCCACAATTAGAAAAGAAATTAATACAATATGAACAACAATTACAGCAACAATAGCTGAATATGTATAACTACTACTACTAGATATATGAAATATACCTTGAAATATATAATCTTTTGCAATAAAAAATGATCCTAGTGGTGCAATTGTCATTAGTAATGTAAAAAAAAGCATTTTACGGAAGACTATCCATATACTTGATCCATCATAATTATCTTCATATTGAATATGTGGTTCGACTGTTGATGTCGATTGAATTGCTGATGTTCGTTGCATCTAAAATAATTTATAAAGAAATTTTCTAGTACGAATATTAGTAAATAGTAAGTACCATTAACTACGAAATATTTATATCGAATTTTTTGGTTAATGAGTTCATCAGAAGAGATAGCATATGACTCATCATTCCTGTTATTAACCAATCAATAAGTTAAAATATAGATGGCAGTTATCGAGATAAGAAATTAGATATAAAACTTCGATTAATATCATAATTAAGTAAAATAATTTATAATTACAAGATTTTCAACATTGATACTTGTTCTGAATAGATGAATGTAGCAAAAGACTATAAATAGTATTATATGACGGAAAATATCGTAATTGATATTATCATTTCGTTAAAGTCTTTATTTTTCGTACAGAACTGGTAACAAACATTTGTTTATATATAAGAAAGACCGATTTCTAATCAAAATCAACTTTTGTGAAAAGAAAGCTTTCAATTTCCTTTATATATTTATGTATGTAATTAGTTTATTTGTAACAAAAGTTTAATGTAAGATCAATAATATGTTTAAATCTAAAAAAAAAGAATTGTTTATTTAACTTGAGAATCATTATATTATATAAATTCATAGAACATTCGCGGTAAAAAAAAAGGTTCCTAAATGTTGCACTGAATAAATCGAGTCGCATTTTTTTATTAATATCTATAGATCATTCTTTACGAAAAAGAACATAATCCGATTGAGAAAAGAAGAAAAAAAAAGAAAAAGCTTTGTTTCTCGTTTAGCTTTATAAAAAAATAAATCAGTAGTACGACGAGACGAGACAATCGTCCTATTCATCGATCGAAAAAAATACACATATATAGACAAAAGACAAGAAAAAAGTATATCAGACACATATGAAGGGATAAATTACAGTTAGTACACAAAATCTTTTATTTAAAATTTTCGATAAGCGGATCCAATATGCAATTTAAATCATATGAATTTCAAATTCCTGAGCCAGATGATGATGTTGTTGATACAACAGAAGCTTGTGTTTGTAATACATTTGCTATTGTTCCTGATATTTCATTATCTGGAGATTCAGTTGGAATAAAACCTGTTATTTGAGTTTGACCAATACCTAAAATAGGTGATGCACTCGTTGAAATTGAATCAGCTAAACATAATTGATTAGATTTTGGTTGAAGAAAATTAAAACAAAGTATGGTATCATCATGTGAACTTGATACAATTTGAAATTCATCAAATTGTAGTCGAAATACACGACCAGTATGTTCTGTTAAAGTTTTCATACAAAGTGATGATGGTTGTGAACGTGGATCTAATGCTGCTTGAAGATCCCAAATTTTTATTTTACCTATTAAAAATTTAATTCTTTACAAAAAGAAAAAACTCTAACAAAATAATACATTACCATCATAAGCACCTGAAACAATACGTTTCGAATCGAAACGAATACATCGTACAAGTTCATCATGTCCTTCGAGTACACGAAGACAAGCACCACATTCAATATCCCAAACCTAGAATATATATAAATATATATCAACTAGACAATATTAAGTTTCGTCATGATTAAAATTATATAATTGATCATTTAAATGGTTGCAATCACGCAAGAATAATTTATCGTGACTATTCGATCATTGAAAAAACCTAGATAAATATAACCTCGAACTATAATTGAAAACAACATTTTTTTTAATATTATACTATTTGCTCATCGAAATGTTTTCATGGTCGTTATAATAGCGTTTTTTCTTTTTCTAATATTAATAACGATTGACATCACTTCTTCGATTTTTTTCTTTTATAGAAATGAAGGTATTTTTGTTTTACCTATACTGATTCAAAGACGAAGAAAAACTAATCAGACCTCGAAGGCATACAAATAAACAACGACAATGCAATTCTATTACTAGACATAATCTGTATTTAAAAGAAAAATGATATGTTAATCTTTGTAATATAAGAAGTGTTTGTCTATCAGAAAGTACAAACTCATTCCTGTCATTCTATATCATATTATTAAAAAAAACTGAAGAATTAATCATAAATAATAAATCAACCTACACGTATAGTATTATCCGATGAGCCACTAACGACAATTTTATCTCGATATTGTAAACAAGCAATGCCTCGTTTATGTCCTAGAAGTGTTCGAACAAATTCGCATGTTGTTGTATTCTAGAGAGAGAAAAAAACAATAGAAAATCAAAAGTTATTTAAACTAATATTTTTACCCAAACTTTAATTGTACGATCACCACTAGCACTAACAATATATTTTCCATCGAAATCAACAACATTTACAGCTGCACGATGACCAACAAGTACACGACGTATAGTTATATCAGTTGGCGAATTCATTTGCCAGACAGCAATAGAACGATCTTTTGAACATGTTACCATTGTACCATCAATAAATCGAAGATGTAAAACAGCTTCACAATGATGTAAAAGTGTATTAAGTAATTCTCCAGTTTTAACATTCCATACTCGAATTGTAGAATCTGATGAACCCGTTATAATAACTCTATCATCATATTGTAAACATAAAACACTTCCATTATGACCTGTTAAAACTTTAACACATTCAAGTGTTTTTCTATCCCAAATCTTAATTGTATTATCACGAAGACCACTGATTATTTTTTCATCATCATATTGTAAACAATAAACACCTTTACTGTTTTGTGAACGACAGGGTATTTTTTCTAATTGAAAATTTCCTGTACGCCAATTGACTTCAAGTTGATCGATATCACGTAATATACGAGGATATAAATAACGATAAAATTCATCACGTTTTTGTTCATCTTTATTGATTGATATTTGTCGAAAAAGATATTTATTCCACGCACGACGTTCAGATAAACCTCGCCATAATAAATCTGATAAAACTTTACGTTCTATTAATTTTTTCCATAGCATACCTAAAATGAATAAAAGATAATAGTTAATCATAATCATTTTGTTAACTAACCTTGAGATATAACATGATACCATTCTCGACAAACAAGTTCTGTTGATTTTAATGATTGATCATCTAAATATCCAAGAATTTTCTCTGCTAAATGTTCAAGACCACATGAGGATAAACGTCCAATAAAATCTCTTTGTAACATTGGTAATAAAAATGAATTAACTTGTCCATGTTGATGACTTTGCATATTTTTTAATAAATTTTCAACAAAATATAACTGTTCATTATCATTCCAAGTTGAAAATATCGTTAAATATTCTTCACTAAATTGTTTATAATTAATTGTCACTGATTTTGTAGGTGTACTAATATTCATAGATGGAATTTCATCGATATATGAAGGATTACCGGCCGAAGAAAAATCCATAGTCAAGGATAATAAAAAGAATAATAAGAGAAAAATTTTTTTTCAAATGAACAGTAACAATTATCTAAAAATAGCAAGGTTGATGTAATAGTTGGTTACAGTTATGCAATCAGACAAGACGACGAAAGGTGTAAAAATCAATAAAATATGTCTTGATTGCTGTCGCTCAATTTATATGTATTTACTACCTATATTTGCTTGAAGGACTGGAATAGTAGAAAAGAAAAAGCTCAATTTAATGTATGTATTCGTTTTCAGTCTTTCTTTTCTCTTATGTTGCGCGACAAGTATTGACATGTTAGTCATGCTTTCTTTCTCTCTCGCTTTCTCTCTCTCACATACACATATACAAAAACAGCAATAGGTGTCTAAATGAAACGAATGACATAAAAAGTACGTAATAAAGAATTGAATGTATCAATTCTATTCTTCAGACATCCATCACATTATCAATCAATAAAAAAAATAATAAAAAGAAAAATATTTTGCCTTTTTTTTTGTATAAAATCAAATAATCTTATGCTAGTACTTATATATCTGACGAAAAAAGAACGATATAACGATTAAATAAAGAAATATCGATATATAAATTGAATAAGAACAAAACAAACACTGTTTTAACACAAAAAACCATTGTTATATAACAATAGTAAATCAGACAAAAAATAATAATATAAATATACAAAAAGAAAAAAAACACAACAAAAGAAGACATAATAGCTGGTTTATAGTGGAATATAATAATATTTTTTATCTTTGTTCGTCAAGAATAATTAACCTCTCTCCATACAAAATCAAAAAAAAAATTAAATTTACAAACAAAAAAAAAACGTATATACAAACAAACAGAAATACACATATCGATATATACAAGCAAATGTCGGAAAAACACCGGTGAATAAAGTTCTTAAAAAAAAAGAAAACTATCTTCTATTAATTAAATAAAAGTGTTTTTTCAAGTGATGTCGTTGGCGTTTGACTAGTTTCGGTATTAATTACATGATCATCTTTACCAAAAAACGGTATGGACTGTGTATTATTAAATCGTTGTTGATTTGATAAATCAGCCATCTGTTGTAAATGATGACAATATCCTTCGTTCATAGTTGATTGAACTATATCAGGTTGTGGTAAATGTCCTGGGGATATTTCATCATTATTTACTGTTAAAATATCTTCTTCTTCTTCTTCATCATCATCATCATTATCACTTGATGAATCTGATCGATAAGATGTCGAAGTAAATGTACTTAATGGTGCGCTTGCTTGACGTTGATATATTCGAGAAGGAAAACGACGTCGATGACGATTATGTGATGATGATACACGACTTTCCGTACATTCACAACTAGAAATAAAATTATTATTATTAAAATTTGTAAAAAAAAATAATCGAATTTATCATACTCATTAACATGATAACAATATTTATCATCATTATCACCAAAAAGTGACCAGATAAAATTTATTGCAGTATTCGATGATTGTTCAGTTGAAGGCGATGAACGAAATAATCCGAACATTCTAAATATTAGAAGAATGGATAAGTTTATAAATTATTTTTTGTGTTTCATACCTTTTTGTTATTGCATATGTAAGATCAATTGGTAATGTTACTGGTAAAGCCATAAATGACCAAATTCTATAAAGATTTGATTCTGTAAAATATCGTCCAATTGGATCTTCTATTTTTTGTCTTGCATGAGCAAATACTATGAAATTTAAGAAGCTTTTTTTATAGATTTAGAAGTAATTTTTATATTTACCTGCAAAAAGTGGTGTTGGTAATTCTTTTTTTCTTGTTACTTTTTCACAAAATGGACTAAATGTTATTTCACACTTTTCTTTTTGTATATCTTTATCTGATAAATATTCATCACCATCATCCATTGAATCTTCCTCTTCAACATCATCTAATTCTTCATACATTCTACCAACATCTTCGACAATTCCACCATTTCGTAATTGTCTTTCTTCATCATTAGCAGGTTCACTATAATCACTTCCAAGTACAGATGATATCGTTGCTTTTGTACTTAAATGTGTAGATTTAATCATATCTAAATAAATAAATAAATGTTTTATAAATTAAACGAAAAATCAATTTGTATACTTCGTGTTTGTAAGAATTTTAAACCATCAATATAACCACGCCAACAAATTTGTTTTAAAACGGATAAATTCGGTGGGAATAAAGCACGAGTCATACGATATAAATTTTCTTGTGTACACGAAATATCTGTACCTCGAAAATCAACACTATAAAAAGATCCGGATTCATCTCGTGGACAAATATCACTTTCACCAGCAAATGGTGATACTAAAATAGTTCCTTCATCAATTATTGGATTATTATTTGTTAAACCACCATCCCAATAATACTAAAAATAAATATAATAATTTAAAAAAAAATAAAAATTTTATTTTTTTTACTTCTCCACGAAATTTATGTGGAATAATTCCAGACCAATAAGGTACAAAACTTGAACAAATAAGTACTTGAATAAGTTCTTCACGACTATGAAATTGACTAATAACAACATTTTTATTATCTTTCCAACGTGTTAATGATATATATAAACGTCCTGTACATATTTCATGTGCATTTGGTGGAAGAATTCGTCGTAAACCATTACGTATAATATCAACAATACTAAATGTTGGATGTAATGGTCCTAATGCCCGACTTCGTGCACGTATAGCTATTTCAAGTGCATCACTACACATTTGTCCTAAACAACAACCACTCATTGCACATGCAGCAACAAGTGCACCAGCTGAACAACCAGCCATTTTATTATCAAGAACTTCCGGTGCATGTTCTTTAAATGCACATATAACACCGATATGATATAAGCCTAAAAAACCACATCCTGATAATGATAAATTAATTGGAAATGAATTTGATTTATGAATCATTCAAATTAAAGTAGTTTTCTCTAATATAAAATAAAAAATCTAAAAATGTAAATAAACAAACATATATATATATATCTTATTTGATCGTATTTAAAGTGCAAATCTTATCTTTTAAATTTACTATTTGTAAATCTCTATTATCTGACCTTTAAACATAGAATAAATGTCTATATATGTATATGTATACAGATATGTCGTCTAAAACGTATTTTAAAATAGATAAATGATAGTGACATGGAAATATACGCGTAAAATCATGTTAATGACTCACATTAAATGATAACAAGTACGTAGCGTTTGGCCTTGAATAAAACAAGGCCAACGAATCTGGTATAAATATAAACTCTTCTTTTTTTTTCTCTCTCTCGCCACGATTGATGTGAATACATGCATTGAGTCATGTGTCACACCTCTCGAGGGTTTGGCTGCTTATTTCGATGTGTAAAGAAACAGAAAGTATATGTACGAACCAATGAAATGATAACAATCAACCTCTTTCTTCTCAAGAGATGTCATCGTATTAGATTTAATAATAGAAAGAAAAAATAAGAGAGAGAGAGAGGAAGTACTAACGATAGCGGATCTTTTAAAACGAATGATGATCACAGACAGGCAAGAATCATCGTTTGAAATAGTCTACGATAAAAAAAAAGTCATACTACATAGTATGAATTATACTTAATTTGTATAATGATGATTTATTTTTTCTATAAATGACTGACATAAAAAAATGAAAGTATATTACAAATGAGCGTGTCTTTTTGATCTAAATATTCGAACAGTTGGAAACGAAAATAATTGCAATTAATAGATTTATAGCAACTCATTTAGCGTCCCTTTGATGAATGAGAGAAACACGAGTATCCCACTTCAATAATATTTTTTTTCTGTGTGCAATGATGTGTACACAGTGTATGTCTTTTATCATGTTAAATAGCTTTTCGAGAGGAAGCAATTTATCGTAAGAGGTGAGATATGTAAGGTTAAAGAGTGCATATATATATATATTTTATACAACTTAATGATGTAATCTTGAATGCTCAATTTTATTATGTTATTAAAAAGAATGTAAATTCTATAGAAGCTAATGTTTTCTTCTTTCTTTTTTTATTGATTAAACTATAATAAAACATATTCTTTGGGTGTGACGATGACATGATGTGATTAATGATTGTTTGTATTGTAGTGTATGAACATATAATTAAATCGTAACGGTGTTATTTAATAGAATAGCTGAGGGTGTCAAAAGATATGCATAAAATAGGCATAATAATTACTTTTTAATGAGTTTCTACCAATCGTTTGAAAATCGAAGTAAAGTTCAATATGGATGAATTGTCTATTGATTAATTAAATTTTTTTTTGTTCGTGTGCCACATCATTCAATATCAAAGTAGTCATCTTAAGTGTATCGCTTGACACATCACTTGAATCAAGTGAGAGACATGTCACTTTTTTTTTCTTTAAAAAAAAAGCAACTCTCTTTCACACGCTTATGTGAGAATTCAATCATGATTTTGAAAGACAGTAGAACATAAAAGACATGATTAATCGGATTTTTTTTCTCTTCCAATATAATGACACTAATTTCCTTATATTCAAATAAAATCAAGATTTGATCATTTTATCATGTATAACATATGAAAGAAAAGAGCAGATGGTTTTATTTTTACAAATTATATCTAAACAAAGCAAAATAGAAACATCTGCATTTGTTTCTCATTGTTATTTTATTCGAATAGATTTTCTTATACACACTATTCGATTGTTCAAAAAAACGTTATTAATCATAGAAAAATTTTCTATTTGTAAATAACAACATGTGGCATTTAGTTAAACTTTTCCAAAGGTTAATTAGAATGAAAGTCTCGCAAATGATTTTTTCCTTCTGTTCAAAAGAACATCATTTTTCTAGATTCGAACTAAATTCTATCATTAAACAATAATTTTTACTGATAAGTTTATTGTTGTTCTCGAGATTAACGATCAACATGTGTATGAAAAAAAAAGAAAACAGATGAATATAAGAACAGAAAGAAATTGTTTTCCTATTTTAAAATGTTTGTTAATTTATAAATACAATCCTTCAGGTGTGCCTTGATTTTTTCGATAAAGTACTGTTTCTTTACTCTTTCGAAAATCTTCATTTGTTACTTTCATTCGACGTTCACGTAATGCCATCAAACCAGATTCAGTACAAATTGCCTAAAAAGAAAACATTCAATATCATATATATATCTATTATGATTATTTAACAAACTTTTATATCAGCACCACTAAGATCATCTTTAGCCATAATTAATTCTTCTAAATTAACATCATCGGCAAGTGTCATACGACCTGTATGTATTTTAAATATCATTCGACGAGTCTTTTCATCGGGTAATGGAAATTCAATTTTTCGATCAATACGACCCGGTCGAATCAATGCTGGATCAAGACTGTCAATTCGATTTGTTGCCATAATTACTTTAACATCACCACGAGAATCAAAACCATCAAGTTGATTAAGTAATTCTAACATAGTACGTTGAATTTCTCTTTCACCACCGGAATTGGAATCATAACTAAATGATAAAGATAAAGATAATTGTTTTGTTTAGATAAAAATATTAAATTTTTACCGTTTTGTACCAATAGCATCGATTTCATCAATAAAGACAATTGCTGGTGCGTATTCTTCAGCAACACGAAAGAGTTCACGAACAAGTTTTGGACCATCACCCTATAATCTCTCGAGTTAGATAGAATTTAAAATTTATAAAAAATAGAATTACCAAATATTTTTGAATTAATTCAGAGCCAACAACACGTAAAAATGTTGCTGAAGTTTGATTAGCTACTGCTTTAGCTAATAATGTTTTACCTGTTCCAGGTTGACCATAAAGAATAACACCTTTTGGTGGTTTTATACCCATTTCTTCGTAATATTCAGGATGTGTCAATGGCAATTCAACAGCTTCCTTAAATATTTAAATCTTGTATACTGAAAAAAAAAGTTGATGTTTATTCTTACTTTAATCTCTTGAATCTGTGTTGTCAATCCACCAATATCCGCGTATGTTTCTTTAGGTGCTTTTTCAAGTTTCATAACAGCAACCATTGGATCAACATCATCACCTAACACACCAATTACTGCATGTACCTAAAAATGAAAAAATAATTTTTTGTTTCGAAAGAAAGCATAAATAAAGATTAATGTTTTACTTTATGGTTTAATAAGACTGTACATCCTGGTTCAAGTTGATCTTTATCAACAAATGACATAATGGTAACATAATGTTCAGAACCAACTGATGTTGAAACAATAGCATGATTGTCATCTATAATTTCTTCTAAAGTACCAACAGCCATTGGTGATCCTCTACAAATTAGAAATGTGATATGATCAGAGAAATAATAAAAAAATTCATTCATACCGAATATCATCGACTTTTGATCGTTCTTCCTAGATAAAAATAAAGAGAGTATGTTTTTTTTTCAGAAAATAAATATCAAATTATACTTCATGACGATCTTCTTGTGGTTTTAAACGTTCTTGATTTTTAATAAATTCTTCTTCTAATAATAAATAATCTTTAATACGTTCAAAACGTAATTGTTTCAAACGGCAACGTGTATATGGTAGAACTTGTGGTAATTTATTAGCTGCTTCAGGACCTTTTGTACGTTTCTTTCGTTTACCAATACGTGTTGGAATTGGTGGTTCATATTTCTTTTTCTATAACAAAAGATATAAATTATTGAATTTAAATATTTTCCTATACTTCTTTATCTCCACTTCCATCACCACGTTTTTGTCCACCAGAACCTTGATTACCCTAGAAGAAGACATACATTTCAAACCTGTTTTTTTCTTAAATTTTCTTCTCACCATATTAAAATCTAGAAGAAGAAAAAAACACGAGATAAACTTATTGAAAATGAAAAATAGACTAAATTCAAATAATTTTTCTCTTTTTAATAAAAAATAATTAAACATTCAGTGCGTCATGATAATAGAAGAAAGACACAAAAAAAAGGATCATGCAAGGTTATACGAACAGAAAAGAAATGTTTTGTTTTTTTGTATGCGAATCTAAAATGTCTATCGAAAATTCTTTTTCTTAATCAATATGAGTAACAATATGTTCACTATCATTTGTTGATTCCTGTGGAAGTGTATGTGAATTCGATCTTGATACTCGTCGATGTTCTAAATCATGTTCAACAGCTTCTTCCCATGATTCATGTTTAACACCATCAGCTAAACGAAGAAGTTTTATATGTACCGCCATCGTTTTTTCATTCTTTGGTGGCATTAACATTTTTTTAAATGTTACTATATCACCTTTTGTAGGAACATAATCATCATCAATACTAAATAAAAGAAATCTATTTGAAATAGAAAAGAAACAAGAAGAAATCGTTACTCAGAAACATGAACAAAAATCAATTCACTTTGGTTATCTTTGGGTTGTACATAACCATAACCTTTTTCTCGACAAAATTCATGAATTTTTCCTTGATACGATGGACTTTGCAATACACGTTCACATCTAAATTACAAATGACAATAATTCAACTCTTGGAGCACGTCACTTGCCTTCAAAAGGTATAAAAAGCATATTTAATAACTTACTGTGAAAGTGTTCGTTCTCGTTTAGGAAAAAAGTTTGGAACAGTTGCATGATCGCCATCATGGTGTAATTGTGATCCTGATGATTGAGACATAATATCAAAGAAGAAATCTATCTAGAATTTGTATACATATATATATATAACAGTTACGAACTATTTAACAAAGAAGTAAAACGAAATTGTTTTGGAAATGGATCTTTTCTACTAACAACTAATGTTCGAAATTTATATGATATATATCCTCTAATCATTCCTTTTTGTATCATATTATTTAATATATCAATAAGTTCATTAATTGTAAAGAAATTTTCTTGTTCAAAACCAAAATTTAATAATACTAATAATGTTGGTTCTAATGGAATTCTAGTTGTTTGTTGTTGATCAATTTGATAAACATATGTACGAAATAAATTTCTTATTGTTATTAATTTTAAATTTTCAATTAAAAAAAATAATCCCGTATCGAATAGAAATTGTTCATATTCATGAATTTTTTCAGTAAATAATTTTAATGAACCTAAACGAATTGGTTCAATTAAATCAATTAATTGATTTAATTGATATTTTTCAAGTATATCCATTTTTGGTGTTGAACCATGAAGTAATTTAAGTACAACTAAATATAATAATGATTGTTGTTTATTTTTAATACTTTGACTTTTGTTTGAATCAAGACAATTAGTAAATACATAATCAAAATGACCAATAGCTGAATTATAATCATGTTTGAGTAAAAGATGTTTACCAAGAAAATAACGATATGTAAGAACGTAAGAAGAAAATCGATGTTCTTGTTGATCATTTTCTTCTTGCATATATTGTTTTAATGGACGTTCAGCTAGAAAAAGAAATGAATATATGTAAATATTAAAACAAACTTACGAAAGAACCACTCAAGACGTCTAAAAGCTTTTGAACTCAAGTTTTATTCAAAAATAGAGAGCATATAGAATAGAAAAAGTCTAAGAGGATATAGGCGCAAATTGTGATATCAATTTTTTCCTATAAAATCAAGGGTTCCGATTTTAACGTAAAACTTTGTTCATATCAAGCCATTAACCAGAGTAGATCATTCACCATTGGCGAAAGTTCAGGCGTGATTTGGCGTATGCCCAGTAGATTTTCGCCAACTATAATTACACAAGATTAGTGTACGATGCATATGACAAATTAGCCTAATCTTATCAGAATAAGCATATTAGAGCCTAAACACTTTTATATCGTTACTAGGAGCTATTTTTGTATGCATGGATACTTCAAAAATTCTGAAACTTTGATTTTATGAGAAGAATTCTAGTAAGAAATCGATATCCTCTTAGACTCTTTCTAGTTTATCTACTCCCTACTTACAAATAAAATTTGGGCTCAAAAGCTTCTTGACCCATCGGATGGCTTTCTCATTAGATTCAATAAGTACGAAAAGAATATATAGATGTGATACATCTATTATCAGATATTGTCTTTTATTCAGTGAAAATGTTTTTAGAAAACGTGTAAGCACTTCTCGTCAGACTTTAATTTTTGATTAGATTTTATATAATTACTAATAAATTATTCTATATCTGAGAAGATTGTATAATACTTTGAGAATTTTTTTCTTCAGTCAAGATAATACTAACCTTTTGAAATAAAATAAGTACATAAATTAAATTTATGTAAAGCATAATATGTTTTTAACATTTGATTAACAATAATAAAAACACCAACTTTTCTTATTTTACTTGTTGGTGAAAAGCTTTGTAAAACTTTCATAGCTTTTTGTGATAATTGAGTATTACATGTTTGTATTGTACTATTTGAATTCATAGTATCCGATGTTTCATTATCATCATTATTTAAATCATCAGTACCAAGTAATGCAAGTAAACGTAATTCATGTGCATGACGATTAAATACTGGTAATAACCATGCTGGTTCATCATCATTTATTGTTGGATTTATTTGATCTATTTCATGATCTTCATCAGGTAATGTTGTAGGCATTCGACTTGAATATCCATTTAATATCGCCATAAGACATGAGAATTTTTTTGATTGATGACGAAAAGCTTTATCAATATCATTAAAGTGTAAATAACGACAAACAGCCCAATGATGTCGACTTAATTGTTTCCAAAGTAAATCATTATCATTTGATAATTGTTGATCAAGATTTGGTTCATTATTATCATTAAAATCCAAATCATCAATTTTATACATACGTGTTACATTGAGTAATTCATCAAGTAAATAACTATCATGTTGTTTAACTGTATCAAGAATCGAATCAATAAAATCTGATTGATTTCGACAATAGATAAAATCATCAGCCATATTCGTTTTCTTTATTATAATCTAGAATGATGATGAAAATTTAATTTTTGTATTGTTCCTATCTGAATGTTCATCAAGTGAACGTCTTAATAAAGAACATAAATGATCACAATTGGTACCATATTTACCAGCTATTTCAACAATATGTTCAAAATGAAAAAAATTCTTTGGACACCATTTTTCTTCATAATCATTTTTTAGAATTTCTTTATAATTATTTAATGAATAATAAAATTCGTTTAATTTCGTTTTATCTTCTAATTGATCAATTTTATTTATTGCAAGTATAGCTGGTTTATGAAGTAATGATGGTTCGTATAATTCAAGTTCTTTGGTTAAAAATACAATTGAATCAAATGCAGATCGTAATGGTGAACGAATTTCTAATTGAAATCCATTAATATCAATTACAAATAGGAGAATTTTTGAACGTAATGTATGTTTAAGAAAACGAGAACCAAGTCCCATTTTAATATGTGATCCTTCGATAAGACCAGGTAAATCAGCTATACTAAATGAACGACCATCATCAAATACAACAGTACCTATTTGAGGATGTAGAGTAGTGAATGGAACAGGTGAAATAGCTGGTTGTGTACGAGAAAGCATTGAAAGAAGTGTTGATTTACCAGCATTTGGATAACCAACGAAACTAAAATAGAAATCAATAGATTAGTTTAAACTTCTATTTCGAGAGTGGGTGTATAGGTATGGGCTACCCTTCTCCGGACTTTTGTTTTCCGAGTTACTTGATATATTCGATTTTATCATCAAGAGAGTTAGTTACATAGCTTCCGAATAAAATATGTGTAAGCGTTAGGGAATATAATTAGCCTCTGAATAAACACTCTCTCTTGATAATTTCCTTCTGTCTACTGAAAAGATTAGCGTCCTTGATGAATATGAAATTTCCTCTTCTTTTTATTCAAATTTATAATAGGATAAACATATCAAACACGGTTCATAGCATCAAATTGTAGATACTGATTAAATATACAGCAAGAATTTTATTACCTCCTCCTTCTTCCTTTCTTATCTTTTCTATACACTTGAAATGTAAAACGGCATAGAATTTTTCTTAAAATTCCAAAATTGTATAAGAGACCATTTATATATCTGACTCAAATAAATAATAATAATATTTTTTACTAACCCAACATCTGCTAATAATTTCAAGTCAAAATTCACCATGGCTGTTTCACCTGGTTGCCCCTGAAAAAATGTTTTGTAATTTCCACCTTCACCACCATGTGCTACAATACATTCATCATCGATATCATTGATTTCATCAATTAATTCACCATTATCACGTAAAATTTGTATACCTAATGGTACATGAATTGTTAAATTTTCGCCGGACATTGCATTTAAACGCATTTTTTGACTATTTTCACCATCCGGTGCAAGATAACGTTTAGTTAAATTTTTTTCATAAATATTTTTCAATGTTAAATGACGTTTACCACGTACAAGAACATTTCCGCCTTGTCCTCCAATTCCACCATATTTTTTTAAACCAGTTCCACCTCGACCGCCACGGACATAAACACGAAGTTTATCAATAAATGGTAAATTTAAATGGCGACCCAGATCTTGTTCAGTTATTTTATATAAACAACGTGTTAAAAACATTTTTATCTACAAAACTAAATGATGAATCATTAAAAATAGAAAGAAAATAATTGTTGATTCGATTAACGAAAGAATATTTTTCTCTCTTACTTGAATATATATCATTATTTAATGTTAATAAAAAAATTTCGTATTACATCTGTAACATGAAAATCCATTTGTATTTGAAGAAATAGATAAGGTAGTTTAGAATATATAAATGTGATTCATAATTTTATTGAATTTATATAAGATATGTCCTAGAGGACAAAATATCTGAAGATTTTACACCATTAAAATCATTTATATAATATATTAGGCAGTATGTCGAAAGAAGTATCCATGTTTTAAATAAAAAATTATGAATAATAATAATAAGTAAGAAAGATTAAAATTTTGTCGAGAAAATGAAGATAGGAGAATAAAGAAACCCAATAAAAAAATGAGTGTAGGTGTTGATTGTTCACTAGTGACATCATTTAAACTATTATGAAATTAGAAAATTTTTCGTAAAAAATGAAATTAACTATATTTTTATTTTTACTATAAATGAACAAATTACTTTTCATATCTATAGACTGTCTCTTATCATGTGTTGTATTTCTTAATTCAGTCGATAAGATCCTTGCTAGTTACGTCTTTATAAATTCTTCTTAAGCATCGTAATACTAGAGGCGTGCCGAAATCAAGAATGGGCGTAATATTAATAAATTCCAAAAGCAGAGGAGTGTCACGTCCCATTGCGGATACGCCTCTGCTACCTGTTTTTTATGTTACTGATTGTGTATAATTTATTGCCATGTTATTATGTTAGTAGACATTCAAGAGTGTTTAAAACAAATTATAAGACTTGAACTAGATAAGAATTGTTTCATATGATTTGTACTTTTTCTTTATAATTTTAGCTATCCATACGTTAAAAAAACATACTAAATGTTCATGCAATTATAAAGTAGATTATTCTATCTTCTAGATTTATTTAAAAAAATCAAAAAAATATAATCTTAATTTTGACTCAACCATACATGTAAAGCATATTGACATTCCCATATTGATGAAACTTCTTTTAAAACAGATAAATAATCAATACAATCTTGATGATGAAACATGAAATTTTGTGGATATTCAAATGTAACACTTTTTAAATATTTAACATTATCAATAATATATTTCATATCATCACTATTTTTTACTCGAATATGTAGATGTTTTATATTTGAAGTTAATATTAAACATACTGTTTCCATATTTGTTGTACAATTCTGTGGAGCTAAATAATCAAATAAAGCTAATGTATGAATATTAACTGCATATTTAAGTAATTTATTTGTACCGGAAATAATACTTGGCATATATTCATGAGAAAAATGAACAGATAATGAAAGTTTAACAAGATTTAGAAGATTAATCGTTGTTGAAAGAAATGTTAATGAATCTTTTGGCCATTCACCATTAATTCCAATAATTAATTCATTAACATTTTGAAATGATAAAGAATTTTCATTATTATTTATAACTTGACTTAAATCTAAATCTAATTGTTTAATATTATTCATTATTAATGAATTCTTATCTTTCATAAGAAAATTTGAAGCCGAAACTTTATTTAAATTTGAATAATATTCAAAATGATTATGACATATTGGTATTGAATAAAGTATAAGTTTATGTAAATAAATAATATAATCACATATAACAAAACATTGTTTTTCATTAAGCCAAAACGGTGTTTGAAAAAACGAAATTATTTGTTTAATATTATTTGTATCAAAATGAACATCAGTTAAAACTGAAATAAAAAATTCAAATTTTTTTAATAATGGTAATTTATCTAGAAAAATTTGCTCCCATCGATAACCATCAAATGTTGAATTAAATAAACTTCCATGACCAATTAATTTCAGATGAATCAGTTTTGGTATTAACGAAAGACATTGCTCGATTTTAGACATCTCGATACGACCATTCATACATGTTAAAGATTTTAATTGAAAAAATTGTATATCTGTTGGAACATATTCACTATTATCATCAATATTGAAATCTTTTAAAATCATTGTTTGTAAACAAGGACAATGTTGAAGAATAATATAGAATTGTTTGATTGTTATACTATTTCGAATTCGAAGATAATTTATAGTAGAATTAATAGACCATTGAAATTCAGTCATATCCTTTGGCCACATATTTAAATCAAGTTGTTGAAATGAATGATCATTTATAGTTGATGATAGAAGATTTAATGAAGTATTTTTACGAATATTTAATGTTTGTAAATCAATTGAGAAAGAAATTAATGATGATAAATGAATAATAGAATTTAAAAATAGTTTTAAATCATTATCTTCAATTTGAATAAGTTTTAATGAACGCAATCGATTAAATTGAGTAAGATTAAATAATGAAAGAAATAATGGTATTTGACCATGAGTTTTATCTTTATTCGATAATGTTAATGAAATAACTTGTTCAAATGGAATCATACGACAAATAATATTAAAATTTGATTTTGATATTGATTCAAAATTAAAATCATAATTATTATAAGAATTTACAATCGAATAGAAATGTTTACAAACAGAACGAAATGAAAAGAAAATTGTTTCAATATCAAGATAATCAATAATATGATAAAGAATTTCAATAGGTAATGTATTAAGATATACAGTAGACATATCAGTATGAAATAAAAAACAATAGTAAAAAAAATATTTTAGATCGAAACGAATTTATTTCTTATTTCAATTTTCATAATAATCTATGAGTAATACTATTATTTTTATTGCTTGTCATATGTTATGGATTCAACCAATCGTATAATTATTAAAGGAACTACGGCTTCGCGCATCGCTAATTTTAATAATTAAGTTATTATCATATTAAAAGTACGAATTGAGGTCGAACTCATGAAATTCAAATTATAATAAAGGTGACGTCGTCTATCACTCATTAACATTACATATTACTTAACGAAAACTGTGCATGTCGCACCCACGTGTATAAATGCAACCTGTAGATTGTCATGTTAAAAGGAATACAAAATAAATCAAGCATTTCAAAAACCTGGCAAAAATAGCAATAGTCAATTATGTTTTTCTAATGACGTTCGATGACAGATAAAACTCCGTTAAAAACATAAGCAACCAGTTAGTTTCACTCATGACGTTAATGATAATGACGTATGTATTTATTTGAAATCCTCCAGTCACGCAAAAAACGTTTACCGTTTTATACCCTTTTCGTATACCTGATCGAACGTCATCGAGTATTTCGCGTCCTATAGAATATTGTATCGCTATTTGTTCGCAGATACTTGTTGTGTCTATGAAAATATAAGTATACTAACTTGATAGTTTGAGTGATTCACTTTTTTTTTGAATTATATAATC